AAGAAACTAGCCATCACAATACAATTTGATTTGTAACCTTATCACATGTATTAACTTATCTGATTCACAAATTTAATATTGTATATCTTTTTTATTCTTCGTTTTTAGCATAACATTAATTTACTTATGTTTTGTAAAGGATTGCGGTCTTGAAAAATAATTTTCCGATCAAGAAACATTGTCGTAATCGGAGCTGTACAGATTCTAAATGTTTCGAATAAAAATGAAAATATCACAAAAGCCTTATACCTTAGAACTAGTTAATGTTTCTATAGTAATTAAAAAGCACGCTAGGAATTAATTTTTTCAGAATTTTTCGTAATCAAGATGCATTTGTCGTTGATAACTCCGTAAACAGTGTGCATATTCTCATCTCTCTATCACTGAATTGTCGCCTATGACGTCAGAGCAGTATTTCGCTGAAATCCGATTGAAATATGCATATTGCCGTATTTGAATTTCAACTCTCAATATCTCTTAAAATATGCTTTCAACAACGTTTATGGTATTCAGTATTTTAATAAACAAGGTTGTAGATAATATTTTTCATGAAATTACGATTTTTGAAAGATCATGCGATAAGTCCTTTAAGTCTTTCAAATTTTAAAGGTAGGGCTTCGATAACTACCCAACTAGCATACATGTACAGCTAAACTTCGGTATCTCGAACACTAATATCTCGAATACCATGGTTATGTTGAAGTGATTTGGAAGTCCCAACCTACTTATTCTTTAACAATTTTACCCTCGATATCTCGAATCCCCGGATATCTCGAAGTTTTTTCATGGTCCAGTTGAGTTCATGGTAACAAGGTTTTACTGTATTACATTTATGGCTCATGACACTACTTTTTGTAGCATTGTGGTCCATGGGCCTCTTGTTCTCAATCTAAATGAGTTCCAGACACTAAAGTTTGACTGTATTATTTGATTAAATGTTTGTCCATGAAAATAATCAGTCTCTCTTAGATTTGAATATAATCGTAACTGAGCATTTTAATTTCAAAACATCAACTTTGATTCAAATTTCCTTGTCCAAATGAACAACACTGTTAAATTTATTCACATAAAAACTTTTAAAAATCTTCTTCTCAAGAACAGCAAAGCCATTATGAGTCATATTTATATGGAAGCATCCTCAGGTAGTGTAAATTCAAGTTTGTTTAAATCATGATCCCCAGGGGTAGGGCGGTTCCACAATGGAGGATCAAAGTTTTACATAGAAATATATAGGCAAAACCTTTAAAAATCTTCTCAAGAACAGCAAAGCCATGATGAGTCATATTTATATGGAAGCATCCTCAGGTAGTGTAGATTCAAGTTTCTTCAAATCATGACCCCCGGGGGGTGGGGAGGGGCCACAATGGACTGTCAAAGTTTTACATAGAAATATATAGGAAAAATCTTTAAAAATCTTCTTCTCAAAAACAGGCAAAGCCCTGATTGGTCATATTAATATGGAAGCATCCTCAGGTAGTGTAGATTCAAATGTATGCAAATCATGACCCCCGGGGGTAGGGTGGGGCCACAATGGAGGATCAGAGTTTAACATAGAAATATATAGGAAAAACCTTTAAAAATCTTCTTCTTAGGAACAGCAAAGCCATGATGAGTCATATTTATATGGAAGCATCCGCATGTTGGGTAGATTCTGTTTTGTTCAAATCATGACCCCTGGGGGTAGGGTGGGGCCACAATGGAGGATCAAATTCTTAAATAGAAATATATAGGAAGATATCTTCTTCTGAAGAACTGCAAAGCCCTGACTAGTCATTTTGATATGGAAGCATCCTTAGGTAGTGTAGATTCAAGTTTGTTCAAAAGATGACCCCCGGGGATAGGGTTGGGCCACAATGCGGGATCAAAAATTTTACATAAGAACATATAGAAAAAATATTTCTTCTCAAGAACAGAAAAGCTATGTTTAGTCATATTGATATGGAAGCATCCTCAGGTAGTGTAGATTCAAGTTTGTTCAAATAATGATCCCTGGGGTAGGGAGGAGCCACAATGGGGGATCAAATTTTTGCAAAGGAATATATGGGAAATTTTTTTTTAAAATCTCAAGTACAACAAAGCCATTTGTTATATTGACATGGAAGCATCATAAGGTAGTTTAAAATTCAACCCCCCCCCCCCCCTTGCTAATCTTTTCAATACTGAACTGATTTAGTGCTTTTGCCAAGCCAATGTGCTCAGGTGAGCGATGTGGCCCATGGGCCTCTTGTTATGCCCTTGTCATGAAATGGTTGGGGCATAAAGTGTTAACCCATTTCCATCCATCATTCTGTCGTTCCATCAGTGTTAGTTTTCAGGACTTTTTTTCCTGTGCTTGTAGATAATGAGTTGATTTTTGGTGCGTCTTTATATTGATAACTTACAGATCAAGTTCGTATTGCATGATTTATGTTGATTTATACATTTTATAAGGAAATTTCTTATCATTCAGTGATTTTTGGACTTTTCTTAAAATGAGATTGAAGTTAATCACAATTTTCATGCAGCTAAAGTATGCTATGGTATTGACAGTTCAATCAGCATTGTGATATTTTTATTTCTGTTTCATTTCCACCCTTTAGTATTTTCATATTCATGGACTTTCAAAATATTGAAAAATTGCTCGTTAGTGGGGGCATTCAGAATTGACATCTAGATTAATCAAGTCAGATAGTTGTAATGCTTTTAGTTGTGTAATTCTTTAAAAAACTTGGACATATATTTTCATGGTAGGCCTAGTTTTTTTTTTTTTTTTAAATTTTTTCTTTCTTAAAGCCGATTTGTAATTTCTGATTAATTATTGTATACTGCATGCTAGAGTGATCGTTGTAAATACTTAGGGCATGTAGGGAGTACAAGTACCTACACAGTATAATAGGGGGATTTCTACTTAATACACATGATAGATCTAGAGATACAACTACCTACACAGTATAATAGGGGAATTTCAACTAATGATAAATCTAGAGATGATTTAAATTCTTTTTTTAAATGTTTTGCTCACCAAACTATTCATCAACTTCTGTCATGAAAATTTAATGCAGAAAAGGGTTTAAAGAATAGTGACTTTAGTATAACATTCATAAATTAAAAATTACATTGAAATTAACATTGTAAGAATTGAGGGAACTAATTTTTTATTAAATGATTTTTTTTTTGGAGAAAGAAAGTCCAATTGACCTTTTGTAAGTTGCAGTTAATTTAGTTTCAAGTGATTGCTAGTATTGTAACCTAGTAAGCATGTTTGCTTGGGAGTTTAAGTTGAAACTTGAATCTTAGGGCCGGTACACACAGTAAGGCTTGCCTTATAAGTCTAAAACCTTACGTTTTGCAGGACGTATGGCTCTTGTGTCCACACGTTAAGGCAAGACTTACAAGATTATATACAATATTTCCATAAATCCCATGTGTTTCCAGCCATAAATAGTGCTTTCGGTCATTAAAATAGAAGAATAGATTACTAGGCTTTGTAATAATTATACCAACAAGTACATTCACACTTCTTAAAATAAGAGGAAGAGGTTAAACAGAGGCATTTGTGGATATTTTAATTAGTTATTCGAAAATACTTTATTACTTCAATATACCCACGTGTATGGTTTGATAAATATAGAATGACATTTGGGCGAATGATTTTCATTGGTTGAGAAGAAAATTTCAGCTAAGTCTTGTAGTAACAAATAGAGCAGTGCTCTATTCATAAGTCAGACTTGTAAGGCTCGAAAAACCGTATATTAAGGTTGTACACACAGTAAGGCTAGAACTTAAGTTCTATAACTTATAAGGCAAGGCTCATCATGTGTACCGGCCCTTAAAATATAATATGCTGTGAACCAACTTTTCTTAATCAATAATAGTCACACTGTCATCAGATCGTAGAGGGATAAGAAATCTTGATTGCCACACAGTAATGATTCAATACAGGGCTCGACATTAACGCTTGTCCGCTTGTCCAGTACCAGTGGAAAAAAAATATGGACAAGTGAATATTGCTGGGCACTTGTCCAATTGGACAAGTGCATTTTTATGTAAATAAGTCTCTAAATATTTAAAAGAACGACTGTTGAAAGTTTACAGGTACTTATAAATGCTACACTTGACGGAAACCACAGGGTATATAGTAGAGCCCTATTATACTATATACCCGATTTTGCTAAGATTGTCTCAAGTCCCTATGACGGAAACAGTACATAAAGACCGAACTTTGATCCCGATGTAAATTGCTATGAAATTGAGTACACTCGATCGGGATCGAAGTTCAATAATTGCATACTACATGTACTGGAAAGGCATGGAACTGACGAAGTTTGGATTCTGTTTTATCTCTAGATAAAATTTTGTTTTTATGTGTTTGTTGTATTTATAAATAACATCATGCACATGTAATGGACTTTATTTTTAGTTTTTCAGTTAACAGTATTAGATCTTTATTGAAAATTTTTCGGACAAGTGAAGTTGAAGTTCGGACAAGTAAATGTCTTGGTCACTTGTCCGAATGGACAAGTAGGAAAAAAAGTTAATGTTGAGCCATGCAATAGCTATTTTAAATGGGAGAACTTGATCAGTAATTTAAAAAATCCAAATTTTTGAACATGATGAATGAAAATTAAAAGATAAGCGAATACAGATAATCAAGAGACGATAATTGTTTAGATAAATGAATGAAAATATAATCATGACAATTGCAAATAATAGATCAAGTGTAGCATTTATAAATAAAAAAAACCCAACAGATATGGCTAATGGCTTGGAGCACTTCGTAACTATAAAAGTTTGGTACCATTTCTCAAAACATTATTTGAACATAGGTTAAAACATTAGAGCATTGACTTAAAATTGTCAACGATTCTGGCAAAAAATTGTACCAACTTATAGGCGTGTCAATGGCAAATCCCTCCATCATGATCTTAAAAAAATACAACCGACTTATAAACGGACCAACTTATAGGTAGGTATATACGGTATGTAGTGTTGCTGAAACAATATTTTATCTTTTTTTTCAGGTGCTGGGGAATCTGGGAAGAGCACAATTGTCAAACAGATGAAGTAAGTTATTAAGGCTTGATTTGATTACACTCAGTTCTCTACATGCAAAATATACCGTACTATATACTCGCCTATAAGTCTGATTTTTGGGAGTTAAATTTCGAACCAAAAGTCAAGGTTTGACTTATAGGCGAGTCCTACAAAAAATGGAATTTTCTGGAAGAGGAAATATAGTAATATTGTAATAACTCCAGCAATAATCGTTTATAAAGATCGGAGATTGATCTAATGCAAGAAATGAAGATCTAAGGTTACCACATGCATATAATACAAGTACTTAGAGACTTAAATGATTTTGTATTTGTTTTAATTGTTAATAAAAGATCAAATATATCGATGTCTTATGCCTAAATATACTTTGAAACACTGGTAAATACAATAGATTATTAATGTGAAATTAGCTGCAGATTCTTACAAAATAAGTGGGTCAATGGATAATTCTTCCAAATTAATCTGAGAAATACAACCGACTTATAAGCGGACCAACTTATAGGCGAGTATATATGATAGTACTTATAACAGTGTATTATTTGAATTTGGAATTATTTTGATTATTGGAATTTGGGGTTTTCAAGAAAAAAGCCCTTAGTCAGACTAACTTAGACAACTAACAAGAATTTCCATTTCTTTTTGTGTTAGTCTTAACTTAGTTAACTAACAATAATTTTTCTAATAAATGTTGGGTTAGTCTTAACTAACTTAGCCAACTAACAAGAAATATTCTAATAAATGTTGGGTTATTATATAGTAATACCACTAATAATATGTTTGAATTCATTCTTTCTCTTTAATTTATAATGATTTTGTGTTTATCAATTTTATTTTTCTTATATAATGTTGTTTGTGCTGGTGTTCTTTTTTATTTGGACTTTATTTTGTGGACTTGGCCTAAAACCAAGGCTTATTCAGTGTTTGTTCAGTCTCAGCAGGGTTAGTTAGCGCACGCGCACCATAGGGGTTAGTTGTGCCAGGCATGACTAACCCCCTCGAGCCTTCAACACTACAACAATAAAAAACGTCCCAAAATCATTTCAACATCCGTGTTCTGAATAATATGCAGTCTTTGCACTCAAGATATTCAAGAATCCTCACCAACATGCGTAATTTTCGTAATTTCTATCGTAAGTCATTTCACTGGGCGTGTCATTTCAACGTTCTCGAATTTTTCACTAACCTTGCAGTTTACATTCGAAAAATCCCACCTGTCGCGTCAATATCGCCGAGGAAATGCTGTAGTAAATAAAAAATGTTAACAATACGATTACATGCGTTGAAAATACGGCAAAATACGAAGTAATGTAGCTGCCTTCGTCCTAAACACAGCCACTGCAGACACAACTCGGCGTCACTTCCGCTTTGACGTCATATTCACTCCCTGCACTGAATGAGAGTATGTAGGTGGATCCAAGTGTAAAGGGAATTGCAATTTCATTCGTAACATACTTAAGACGCTGTTAGGCAATAATTTATCCAATGTTAATAAAGGCATACACATAGAGACTTGTAATGAAAAGTTCTCGAAACTCTATCACGCATAATTTAGTTTTAATGCACAATAAATTTATCTTTCTTTTGCAGCTAATATTACAGGTATTTCTGTTCTTCTAATCGTTCACTTTTCATCTTTTGTTCACTCGTATTTATTGTTGAGTTTGTTTTTTCCTTGGTGAATGTTGTTTTCATAAAGATGAAAAATATGTCAGTTCAAGAATATTTATTTTGATGCAAGAATAAAATCTGATATTGTAGAGAGATACTCCTTAAAGATAGTGGCAACATATCACAGGAGGAAATGATACTATTATGTTTTAGTGCTAAAAAAAGCAACGAAAAAATTGAAGATCTGTGATCCACCTATTCATTTCACTGTCAGTTAAGAGACGCAATTTAGGGTGCAAATCTTGAACTTTGGTATCAAAAGTGACGTTTACTTTATTGTTACGTCATAAAGTAGCTAAAGAAATCGCAGACTTATAGCTAGGTCTAGGACAATTCATATATCTTATAATTATAAGCATGGGGGAATACAGGATTTGTGATTGGGGGGGGGACGTTTTCCAGTTTGAATAATTATGAGATAATATTTATAGCCTAGGGAATGCAAGGTTTTCAGACTTGATTTTTAAGAAAACCGATACTTGGTCATTAAATAAAATTACCATTTTTTAAATTGACCATTAATTATAAAACCAAGTATGGCATTATTAATATTAGTCATGTCATACTTTGAAAATTTTAGAAGGGGGCCTGCGCGCTCCCCCTCCCCCTTAAATCCCCCAGTGGTAAGTAATATAAATAATGAAAAAACGCCGATATGTGTTCATTTTGTTTTGATATGTCATATTATACCGATGAATTAGCTGTATCGAGGAAAAGGGAGACATTTATATACTATATCTATACTGTAGTAATATACTTCGGCCAAAGAAAACTTTCCTACAAGTAAATACCTTAGGTCCAAAAGTTGTTTTTTTTTAAACAATGAATAAGAACCTCAAAAATTGCAATGGCCTGTTTTTACATTTATTTGATATAATGTCATGTGATGATTCCGCAGATTCTCCGGATATGAAGAGTTTTCAAATTTCTGTAAAACGAAAGAGATTGAAAACCTTGGAGACACCCGACACCCCTAGGAAACACGGACCCCTGGTAATATAGTAAGGAGAGCCATGCATACATGTACATTATGAAAGTAATTTATCCTTAGTTACGGTAATAACCCCCCCCCCCCCCCTTTCTTTCACGAAAAAAGGTTTTTCATGTTTTGACAAGTCTTTTCTTGTCTCTCTTTTATGCTTGTCAACAAATTTCTTAGTCCGGCATTTGTTTTGGTTGCTGTGGATCTCACCCCTTGAAAAGATTCCTGGATCAGCACATGGACTGGCGCGGTAAATAATGGACATCACAATAAGTGAGAAGCTTTGAAAAAAAAAATGTGTTAATTGCAGCTGAGGCATACTCAAACAAAATTTACTTCCAACATTTTTTATTTCAATATTTATTATCCGGAAATTCGTAACAATTTTTTAACACATGTATAAGCTCCAGACAGCTTAGTATTACGTTACGCTACAACTCCATATAATTATTCGTAAGGGAAAAGTAGTCCCGGAGAATTGACACTGTATGGATGTGGACCCCCCACCCCCACCCCCCTTCGCACGTTGTACAATATGAAAACTACATGTAAAGGACAATAAAAAGGTAATGCAACAACTGAATGTATGTATTTCTAGTGTCAATGGTCATGAATGACACAGTATTGTAGTACGTATACCTTTGTTTGATTTCAAGAACAATTTATATGTGAATATATTTTGCGGATACTGTAATAACAAATTTAGGGATGATACTAAGTAATTAAAAAAGTACATAACATCAGTTACATCACAAACTTAAGACAACTTTTTTCAGCCCTAGAATTCCCGGTCTTTTGTTGAACACATGATCTTCATTCTCGATATGGGGGCACCCTATAATTTTGGTTGCTATTAAAGGTGATTGAAATTTTCGGTATAATATCATGACTTATATGTTTTATAGCATTTCACATGGAAATAAAGTTAAAAAAAACTTATTTTGTCTGGAAATTATTGAAACTACAAATTTCGGGACGCGTTTGATTGACACATCTATGCACTTTCACAAAGTAAACTTTATCCTCAATACTTAAGAAAAGTAGAAATTTTGTTGTGCATTAAATAGAGAATATTTCCATTTCGATTTGTTTTCTCTGTGATAACCCTTTGAAAGTTAGAAGAGTTGATTTCTTGATCATTCCACTCGAATGCAAATTTCGCCAAGCGAAATGTCAGGAGCTAAGAAGGCCTAATATATGCATGTAATTCTCGTGCGGCTGTCTTTGTGTCTGACTCTAAGAAGGCCTAATATGCATGTAAATCTCGTGCGGCTGTCTTTGTGTTTGACGTCAGTGGGCGGGGACTATTGAAATTGACATGTGAGGCCTCACGTAATTTAAATCTATTAATCTACATTTTTAAAATCTAAATTTACAATTTTATTTCACAATGAAATGGAAATATAAGGAATCACTGTCTTGTTAGTAGAGTATGCCAGGGACATCAACGATAGTTGGAAACGTGGGATAATTTATGCATAACGGGCTTGGCCCATTATGCAAATTATCCCACGTTTCCAACTATCGTTGATGCCCTGGCATACTCTACTAACTAGACAGTGATTCCTTAAATAATACATGGCAAAATCTGTATCACACCCCATATCATCCCGAGACTCCAATATCAGCCCGAGGGCCGAAGGCCAGAGGGCTGATATTGGTCGAGGGTTGATATGGGGTGTGATACAGATTTTGTCTTGTATTGTTGTTTTTATTATATATTTGAAAATAGTGTCCTAAAAATCATATATAAACTTGTAAATTAATTACTGAATTTTTAATAATTGAATGTGTTGTGTTTTTGTTGAATTTCCGTTTCTCAATCTTTTTTAAAGGCATATAAATGCATTCAGCGATACGAAATGAAATTATTATAAATCAAACAAATGATTATTTTGAATAACATAATATGTCTGATGAAATAAAATTACAATTTGAATAAACTTTGGAAAGAAATAGGAAAAGATCCGAAGTACTCCGAATGAAAAATACAGAGGTGTTCCGGAAAGGTGTAATAAAGGGTCTGATAAAGGGTGAAATATAGGGTGCTGATACAGGGTGTGTAATACAGGGAGCGTGCCTGTGTTCATATTAGGGATGCAAAAATCCTGTATTATATAACAAATATATTTTATGAAAAATATTAAACTATAATCCAGAAAATAAAGAGTAGAAATGTGAGAAAGCAAAACCCGTGAAACGTAAACTGTTTTTGTAATCAGGGCAAGAGCTCTGTTATTGTTAATGTTTAACGTTTCACCGGGTGTGTTCAATTTGTTAAACTCTGAACACATCACTGAGAACGGACTGACAGTACTGGTGAATTGGTTTTGCTTTCTTACATTTCCACTCTGAATTT